TCAGTAAATCTACTTAAAAAAAAAAAAAAAAGCAAAATATCTATTTTATTCTTGGGTTTCCAATCACGAGACCTGACTGCTTCAGTCCCACTTAAATAATTTCAAAAATAGTGATAAGCATATTTTTCTCTTATAGATTGTTAAATATTTACTCACGTGCACAATGTATCAGAACATTTTGAATTCTGTATTCTTAGTGTTGGGTGTTCATGTTGTGAATGAAAACCTCATTCTGTTACTTCATAGCATATTTATATATACAAATAATTTTTGCCTTAAGTAGGAAAGAAACAGCTGAAAGATACATAGGTTATTTTGCTTTTTAAAATTTTAGCAAACTATTCTTTGAATCTTCTGTGTGTTTGGGACTGTTTGTAGAGGAAAATTTCATCAAGCAACATTTTGGAAACATTGGTGTTTTGTACTCTTTCCCAAATAAGCTTAAACTTGTACTCCCCAAAATAAAATGTTTCTTTGTATATTGTTACCTGCAAGTTATTGATAATGGAAGGAACACTTTTTCAATCCTTAGTCCTCTTTCCCCCAACACAGCTTTTAGATTGTAGATAAACTTCCCAGCTCAGTAATTAACTGAGCTCAGTCATTGCACCCTGTATCATGTGATTTTTTTTCCAGTGGAATACATTATTAGAGCACTTACACAGCCAGTCTAGCTGCAGCAGCCCAGGCGGCAACAGCAGTGCCATTTTTCACAAAGAAAATGTTGAACAGGAGCCAAATGTTTGGTGGCAGTCTGTTGCTAGGAAATCAAGGTCCTGAGGCGATTAATGACAAAGCAAGCAATAACAAGAAGGCAGAATTACAGATTTAAAAGAGAAAAAAGTGGTTGGTGTTATAATTACCCAAAGAAATCCGCACTCATTAAATTGGCTGTTTTTATGATTGACTTTAATTGGAGGTTAGCTCAGATATTTAGCTCCTTTCCCACCCCTTTAAACACACACAGGCACATAATCTGTAGAACTGCAGACTTGTTTTTCTAAGCATTGAGAGGAGCTTGCCCTGTAATTTGATCCCCACTGACAGATGCATTTTCTATGCTGCCATTTTGAATTAACCTATTGTAGAACAATTTTCTTCAGCCCTGTTGAATAAAACATCCAGTCTGATTACCTCCGATGGATTTGATAGAGTAAAAGAATGTACTTCTCATTGAAGTAGATTGTTTGCATGGACTCTACTGATTTTGAACTCTGCCAGTAAGCACAATCGTTTGTAATAAATTTTCAAAGAAATTTGTGAGGAAAAGGTAATGAGAGTCACCCTTTTATAGTTTAATGTTTGGACACCTCCATCAAAATAATATAATTCTTATAAGACAGTGTTATTTTTCCAGTAAGCTTTTCACGTGGTTTTAGAAAAACATTCTGAATCTTCATTTAGACTATTCATATATTTAGGAATAGAGTCTTGTATTTACACACTCTAAAATGACCATTCTTCCTCCCCAACAACAGTATTTTAGTGCAAGACTCAGTATGCAAAGCACTCTGTTGCAAAAATATTTTGGGTATGTACAATATTTAAAGTGATTTTAAGATTGGCCTATTTCAATCTTTGAAGTATTTTTCCCCCCAAAAAATCCCTTATTTAAATTTTTTAGGGTGTGATAAAGCATGTTACTAGAAAAGCATCAATTGGTCTTTCAGGTACAATACCAGAGGAACCATCACAGTGTATTTACCTTTCTCAAAAGCTTTAAAAATGAAGTTACATGATGCCTCTGCTCTCCAGATTTCTAATCAAACCCTGGAACAAAAGAGCCAAGCACATTCTATCTGACAATGCACACACTGCTAATCAGATGCCAATGCCAAGCTGTCTGCTTTGTTAAATACTTAGCTTCCTAGAGGCAGGAAGACAGCTGCTATAAGTATGATGAAATTTTGTAGTTCAATCTATTTTTGCTACCCTTGGGCTACCAAGATACTGTTAATTTAGACCACCCCAATTGGTACACTTTAGGGAGTTTTTTAAAGAGTTTGTAATTAAAATGATAAAACATCGTTATTACATTGAAGACCTTCTGTAAGTTTTACATTTGGCAGATACCTACTGAGATAACCCCAGCATGTAATTTACAATGATGTAATGGTTGTAATTGCATTTTAGAAAAAGAGAGAACTATAGGAGCCAAGTGCTTCCATTAGAAGAGTTTTTAAATCTGCTTCTGTTTCATTTAAATCTACTTCTATCCCCAAATTACTTACCTATAATTGACTATAGCAGCTATAAACCTTAAGATGCTATCTGAATATTTTTTAAAAGTTATCACCCTAGACACTGTCACCAGGGGAAGGAAGCTAAAATCTTAAAGTTCTTAACTGATGATGATACTGCCAGTAGGTAGATTATATTGCTTAGCCCTACATAGTTAACTACTTACCCCCAGATAATACTGCCTTTTGGGACATGATTCTCAAAACCTGTAGTATGTGAAACCTGTAGACTTAGCACACTATTAATTGTAAATAAAATGGAAACTTTTGTACTCTGGTGGTTGGGGTCGGGAAGGGGAAAGAGGCAGTACAAATAAGCAACCTGGACATTTTTATTGTTTTTTTCTTATCTGTTAGTCTACATGAAGAGCTATCCTTGAAAGTGAGTGCTTTAGATCTATGAAACTGGGCAGCTGTCATACCACATCTATTAAGACCTAATAATCACATAATTAATATAGCAAATGAATAGACTGTAAGGTAGGGTTTTTTTTTTTTTTGTTACTACACTGTGGTTTTGTTTTTAATAAATAGTTTTGGCTTTATTTTAAACAGTTAAAAATTCAAAACATTTTTATGATCAAAGCTTATAGGTTCTATCCTTGGAAAAAATATTTTATAAATACAGAAAATAGTTGCTTAGGATTGGAATCCAACTCTGTTGACCATGAACAACTTCAAAGTTGATCTCATAATCTTGCATGTTGTGGAATAATACCACGAAAAAGTTAATTAAAGAATTTAGATGTTTGTTCTCCTGTCTAGAACTCAATAACTTTTAAGTAGTAACTCTCCCTACAGTTTAACTGTTAAGCAGTTTAACTCTTCTGACAGTTTTAGGTTTTATTCTGTGAAGACTCATGATTTTTAATTTTTGCATCCTAATTTTTCAGTTGTTTCAGGTATTGAAATTACAAATGATGGGAAAGAAAAGTGATTGACTACAAAGGGGATACAAAAGGCAAGTTTTAGGGTGATGTACTGTTCCGTATGGTACTATGGTGGTGGATATGTGATTCTATGCATTTGTTAAAGCCCAAAGAACTGTAAATCACAAAGGGTTAATTTTAATGTATGCAGGTCTTTTAAATGTTAGGAATTTCAGGATGGAATGCAAGCTGTAACAAATGAATCTACTTGTATCACAAATGTATGGCATAACTTCACTGAGTAGGTGGGGGGAAAAGGAGCTGACGTCAGTAACTTTGGAAAATGGTATTTTGACTGGACAATGTAAAGCTAATGACTAAGGAACACTATAGAAACACTGTATTCTAGTTGGTAAATTTGTTTCTCATAACGATATGGGTTAACAGTTCTGAACCCCTTTACATGTATCCTGGGGTTGAACAAATAAGTAAATGAATGATGAATGGTGGAAGCTAGATTTCTCACTATCAGGAAGGGATGTTACAGATAAATAAACAAGAGGGGAGAGCCAGAATGAAGCCTGTGGTACTGAATTAGAGTTGGAGATATAAGTATTTACCCATGTTTAGCTTAATATATGTAGATGGATAGATGCAGAAATAATTATAGATACATGTGTATATGTGGATTAGTATACATGCATATGTTTCCTAGCTGTGTTCACTGAGAAGGCCTAGAAGCAGTGATATCCCAGTAGCCACAAACACATCCAGTGCTCACATCCCGGTTTGTAAATCCTATTCTCCAATAAAAGGATCCAGGACTCCTTTTAAATATGACTGATTCTGGGGCTGGTGATGGGAAAATACAACATAAGCATGGAATATCTTGTAGTGCCAGAAGGCAAGAGATTTCTTAAAAATAATAAAGATTAAGCATGCCAAAAGGGACACAAGAGCCAATGTGAAAGAACTCCCAATGGCCATAGCTGGAATAATTAGAGCAACAAAATAAAACATGTAGCATTGGATTAAGGATAAATTATTAAATAAATATACATGAGTTCACGGTGTTATGTATAAATTGCATAAATAAATAAATGGAGGAGAACAGATAAATCTCCCTGATAGAAGAGTTCCAAATAACATATTGCCCCCTCCAGAAGGTGGATCCTACTTCCCTTCTCCTTGAGAGTATGAGCTGGATTGAGTGAGTCAGATCCAAAAATTGAGTTGGAAGACAGCGAAATACTGACTTGACTGTTTCCATTGGAGAAAGCTGGTAAACAGTTATGTTAACTAAGTGATTAAGGTTAACATCACAAATGGGAAGTCATGTTGGTGTGAAAAGGTGGAAACTTCATCTCTCTGATATTCTTTCCCTAAACCTGTAGCCTCAATCTAATCATTAGGAAAACATCAGACAAATCCCAGCTGATGGACATTCTACCACACAAGTTGAGCGTTCCTGAAAACTGTCAAGGTTGTGAACAACGAAGAAAGACTATAAACATCTCACTGACAAGAAGAGACTACAGAGTCATGACAACTAAATGTTACATGGTTTCCTGGATCAGGTCCAGAATAGAAATAGGATATTAGTGTAAAAACTGGTGAAATCTAAATAAAGTCTTAACTTTAGTCAATGATCCACCAACATTGGTTTCTTGGTTTGGACAAATGTGCCACAGTAATGTAAGACGCTAAGATAGTGACATTAGAACAAATTGAATGAGGGGTACACAGGAAGTCTGTATATTATACTTGTAATTTTTCTGTATATCTAAATTCCCAAATTAAAAAAAAAATTATTTGAGGTCGATCAATGGGCTGACTATATTGGCAAGATACTGATAGGTTACGTGTTGAAAAAAAAATCCAATATAAAATAGAGAAAAAGTCAGTTCCATCCCTTCCTACTCCCCCTTTACCTGCCTACTTCCCAATACTCATCATTGTGATTTGGTCAGAACAGGGCTTAGTGCCAGAGGTCAGGATGACTGAGGGTGGAGGAGTTGTGGGCAGTGGGTTCATGGCTGTCACAATAATGCTGTGGCAATTCTGTGGTTTCCCAGCTGGGAGTTAGGAGTGGGGGAGGGCTGCAGCCTGATGACAGCCAGCTGAAGGAAGAGCTGCTTCTCTCTTCCCTAGCTACTCCATCACCGGAACCCAAGACCACGCCAAATAAGGTATGGATGCGGATGCTTTTGCTGAGTCTATTCTGCAAGAGGCAAAGAAAGGGTAGTTGCTCCAACCCCACCTTCCTCATATACAAGGGTGAGGGGAACAGGAGCATGTGGCTGCTACTAGCAAAGGAAAAGTAGGAGAGCAATAGAAAGGGGAGGAAGTGGGAAGAGCAGAAAATCAATATTATTTAAAAAGTGACCTAAGACTTAAAATTGAATTAGTATTTGTACAGAAAGGTGCAGGTAGAATAACTCCCTGTGGCCCATGATCAAAATTATGTGGAGAAATCATGGTGGGCCCCTTCCCCTGTCCCCAGTGGTGGTCCCAGTTGCTGAGTGCGATTGGTTAGAATGGATTCCAGTCTAGTCGTTCAGGCAGAGAAAGTAGTTGCAGTGGGCAGGCAAGAGAGGCTCAGTTGCTGCAGCAGTGGCTCTTACTTGCTGGGTGGTTTTCCTGGAGGTTTCAGCCTGGAGCACCAGATGCATTCTGGGGCTTAATTTTAGGAACCTTCTTAGCTATCGCCATGAAAATTTCATTTACATTCATTGCAGTCTTTGCTGATGTCTCCACAGTCAACTGTTGTCGTCTGCATAGTCCTGTGCTTCCTGGAATTCCAGGGCTTTCCTGCTGGCCAGGTCTGCCTTGTTACCCACAAGTACAGTGACGATGCTGGTGCTGGCGTGCCTTTCTAGCTCCTTCACCTGTTTCTTGGCTGGTGCAAATGTATCTTTTTTGGTGATTTCATAGTACAGGGGGGCCGGGCTACCATACTGTTCCTGTCCAGCGCTGCCCCAGGTCTCAAACTTGACTATTGTGTTGTCTAAGCAGACAGTCTGTGTAAGGAACGCTGCTCTGATTATGCTCTCCTGGTACTCTTGAAATTGTCCCTTGACAAAGTGGAGAACAAGGCTGGATTTGGCCACCACAGACTCATTGTTCCCAGTGGCTGGTCCACTAGGTCGTGTGCTGTGCCTCGCCCGACCCGCCACTACCCGTCCAGTTGTCATGGTACCAGAGAGCATGGGGACGGGAGCCATTGCTATGCAAAGAGACACTTAGTTGGGGAGGGTGTCTCCAAGACCACTCAAGGGCAGTAGCGTTACTTGGGGCTAGGGCTCAAACAGGCTCCACTTCTCTCCCCCGACCCCCAGCGATATCTCCAAATAAAAATTTTACTTAAACACAAAGACCATGTATGTACTTAAACACCTATCTAAAGAAATAAAATATGGCTGGGCATGGTAGCTCATGCCTATAATCCCAGCACTTTGGGAGGCCGAGGCAGGTGGATCACCTGAGGTCGGGAGTTCATGACCAGCCTGATCAACATGGAGAAATCCTGCCTCTACTAAAAATATAAAGTTAGCCCGGCATGGCAGCACATGCCTGTACTCCCAGCTACTTGGGAGGCTAAGGCAAGAGAATTGCTTGAACCCAGGAGGCGGAGGTTGCGGTGAGCCGAGATCCCTGCCACTGCACTCCAACCTGGGCAACAAGAGCAAAACTCTGTCTCAAAAAAAATTTAAAAATTAAAAAAAATAATTCCCCTGCCTCTCTCCACCCCAGAGGGTAACTATTATCCTACATTTTATGATTATGATTCCCATGCTTTTCTTTATAGCTTAACCATATGTGTATCACTAACTGTTCTATCATATCTCATAACCTCTTACATAGTTTCGCTTTTTTGTCATGTTTGCTATGTTCTGGATAATTTCTTCAGATCTATCTTCTGATATTGCTAATTGTGTCTTCAGCAGTGTCTCATATTCTGTTTTACCTGACATTGAATTTTATATAATAATCATTACTTCCATTTTCATTTCTTCCCCTGAAATCAGTTTACTTTATCATTTTGATAAACTCACTTCATTCTCATGTATACAATCCTCTTATTTATTTAAATAAATTAAACTTATTTTCTATTTTGTGCCTAGCCTAATATTTAAAGCTTATGCAGTTCTGATTTTTCTGTCTCTGTTTCCTCTGGCTGTTACTCAAACTGCCTTATTTTCCTGTGTGTTAGCTTGTATTCGTTATTTGTGGTGATCTCTGAGACTGAGATTAAGATATGTTTCCAAAGAGAGTATTTACATTTGAATCTGCCAAAAGCCGGGGATACTGTCAACCTGGGAACACATTCAAATAACTGTTGGGCTTAAAGTTTTGTGGGCTGCATAGGTAACATGAGTTCCAGATCCATAAACCTTCATGAGGGTGGGCTTGTGGTTAAATTTTCAAAAAAGATGTATTTACCTCCACCTAGCATCAAGTTTGAAAGAGGTTAATTTCCTTGCTTATTCTTTCTATAGGGTAGACATCATTCTATTCAGCTCTTACACTAAACATGTGTGTAGCTCTTTAGGATCCCAACTTTATGTGGAGAGTCTAATTAGACTTCCTATCTTTAATATACCCTAGAATTTATCCCCTAAACCTTGGGTTCAGTAGTGTCCTGGTAAATATTTTAAAACTGGCTCTCCAGGGCAAAAAAAAAAAAAAAAAAATCCTAATTTCTCACATTTTTCTATTTCACACTATGACTGATTTCACGATACCAACCTGAAGTCATTGAACGTGGAGTTGGGAAAAGATATGTACAGTTAGCTTTCTCGAGCCGGCTCCAGTGTATCACTGCCAGTTCTGTACATGGCTGTGAAAACTGAAGCTCAATGCACAGGGCTTGGCATATCCCTCAGAATGAAAGACATCTAAGTGTTTGCCTATCCCCCTGGATTTCCATTTTTACTTTGTTTTAACCTTTTGAGTATTCTGTGTCAACTCAGCAATATACTTCAAAAAAAGATTCTTTTGTTTTCTTTTTATTTTAACCCAGCATTTGTTGTTATTTTTAGCAAAAGGCCTGTGTCAGGGTACCTGTTTAGTCAGAAATAGAAGTCTCTGTTCTTGTTTGTAAATATAATGTATTGTTTTTCTTTTTGGGGAAATATAGAAAGAAATAGATGTCTCTGTTCTTGTTTGTAAATTTAATGTATTTTTCTTTTTTGAGAAATAGAGAAAGGTACAGAGAATATTAAAATTATCCATAATCCTATCATATATGTTCATTTTATGTGCATGTATGTCTCCATACTTTTTTATATAATTTGCATTATATCTATTTCATAATATGATTTTTATTAATACATAATGAATGTTTGCTCATGCCGTTAACTATTCCTTTAAAACAGCCCCCATTATGTATGAGAGTAAACATAAAATGCTGCACACATAGGGATTAGTATAATTCAGAAATTCAGTCTGTATTGCATTTGGAAATAATTTTGTCAAAGTTATTCATGCCACATTATTAATAATTGCAAAATATCAGAAACCATATAAATGACCCATTCTAGAAGATTGGTTGAATATACTCTGGAACATACAATAGACTACTATGTTGATAAAAGCTATCTGTTTTTATAACTATATGGAGTAATTTCCAGGAAATATCACATGAAACAAAAAGCAGAAACAAATACTCATAGTGCTACTTGTCATACAAGAAAAAGGGAGAATTAAAGAATGTGTATGTTCAGGAAGGATAAAGCAGAAAACAATAAAATTAGTTACAAGAGGTAGAAGGGAAAGTGAAGTGGAAGGGATGTGGGAGGGAGTGAGACTTGGATATTGGGGTATACTTTCTTGACATAGTTTCAACTTTTGAAAGCATGTTAATGTCCAACATATTCAAACAGTTAAATAAAAATGGTATCACTGGGACAGGGACCTAAAATTATAAACAAACAAACAAATGAACTTAATTCGTTTTTGTTTGTTTGTTTGTTTGTTTTTGAGACGGAGTCTCGCTCTGTCGCCCAGGCTGGAGTGCAGTGGCCGGATCTCAGCTCACTGCAAGCCCCGGGTTTACCCCATTCTCCTGCCTCAGCCTCCCGAGTACCTGGGACTACATTAGCCGGGACTACAGGCGCCCGCCACCTCGCCGAGCTGGTTTTTTGTATTTTTTAGTAGATACGGGGTTTCACCGTGTTAGCCAGGATGGTCTTGATCTCCTGACCTCATGATCCGCCCGTCTCGGCCTCCCAGAGTGCTGGGATTACAGGCTTGAGCCACCGCGCCCGGCCCTTAATTCGTTTTTGTTTTTTTTTTATTT